GTACAGAGGAGACTGCAGCAACAAGACATGCGTGCATGTCCGCGTGTGCTCAAGTCTGTGCAGTGGCTGCCGATGCGAGGGGTGGAGCCGATGAAGTGCCTGGGGATGTGGCGCATGGAGAACTTGCTCCCTCTCCCATGGCCACCTTGTCCTGAGCCAACCCCGTCCTGTCCTGAGGGTCCAGAGGGGCTGGGAGATACTTTTACATACACACGAAGATCCTGAACCTCGCCCTTTGTTGAAAATACGGCTGGGGAGCCAGGCCGCTGGCGTGAAGCCCAGGCTGCAGCCATAGAGAGTGATTGGCGTCATTTTGGAGCTACTCCAGACCGTGCAGGCCATGGATCCAAGTAGGCAGTCGACCAGCACTGAGCAGAGATGAGTCAGTGGCGTTTAAGGTCAGGATTAACCAGCAGGCGGGGCTCTTGTCTAGATCCTCCGAGGTCTTCAGGGTAGACCGTTCAGAACCCTGGATAGCTCCTAGAGGAGCCCTTCCTGCTCCTGCCAGGTCTGAAGGGCTGGATGGCCGCCACACTCTGAAGGCCCTGCGCTTATTGAATTGTTAGCAGCCTTTCTGTACACATCTCTAGCTGTGACAGGCCTGACCGGTTCTCTTTCCAAGACCAACCTCGTGGGTCCAAGGGCTCCCCCTCATCTCCTCCACCCTTTTCCTACCCCCCATCCAGCCTGACAAGCCTGTTGAGGCCGCCATCACTGTGAAGGTGAAGTAGGCTCGCAAGACAGCCACATCACTTCCTGAGCTGTCCCCGGGCAGCGTCTGACGCCGTGACGCTCAGGGCTGTCGGGCTGCAGGACAGGGAGTCCCATGGAACAAGGGAGTGTTAAAAGGCCTTTGTCGTAACACCCTGCACGCTGCTGTCCCATTAGGGCGTGAGGAAGAGACACTAAGGAGAGATACTGAGCGTATTTCAAGGCCTGCAACAGCAGCCTCCCATGGCCGTCCCTGTACCTTCAGCCCAAGTTAAAGACAACTGTTTTTAGGAGAAGGACAGTGACATGAGACGAGAGGGGCATATGTAGCAAGTAGAAGCAGAGGTCTAACTAGTAAGTCTGGGAGCTCCCGGACCGGCACCCCCATTCTAGCCACGCACCACCCCCAGAGCCCACAGGCAGGAGTGAAAATAGCCCTGTACGGGGTTTCCCCCTCCATTCCGTGTCATGTAGAGTATAAGGGACTCTGAAAGGACAGAGGAATCGTAACGTGTCACTAAGGACCAGATTTTCTGGTGAGAGGTTCTTCCTGTGTATCCAGGTCTCTCCCGTGGCTGCAGGAATCAGAGCCAGCAAACGAGGTGACTGGATCACTGTGAGACTCCTTGGGCTGGTGCGTGAGGAAGGAGGGCAAAGCCGCTTGCACTGAGGCTTAGCAGACACACTCGGGATCTCATGACTCACAGTCAGCCAAGCTCTGACCTTAGTCAAGCCCCTGTCCTTCTAGACTTTTTTCCTACTTCCACAGGCTCCTGGGTGCAACCCAAAGACCACTGCACACATCCCTGTTCAACCCAGTTAGTGAAGTAGAAAACCCCCGGAAAACAGGTGCAGGCCACCTCCTAGCAGCGGTGGGTCACAAGGGGACCAGGAAGAACAAGAAGAGAAGAACGTTTGGTATTCCCTGAGGCCTGGCCGAATGTAAGCTGGAATGATATGGCTGCCCCCACCTCACCTGAAGATGTATTGCCAAGCAATGCTCCTGGAGATCGGCCATTGGCGATGCAGTAACCAGTTTATGGGCAGAAAGATGCTCAGAGGGTCTGGACCCAGGCTCTCTCGGCCTAGCTCTTCTCTCTCTCCTGCAAACAGCACATTGCAGCTTCCAGGAGAGGCCTCACTGTGGGGCTAAGCACAGGCTCTTCCAGCCCACAGTGGCATTTAGAGAAGAAACAAGAACAGATAAGGACTTTGCCAGACTCCATGAGGCCTGTTTGTGTTGGTCGTTGGTAAACCGCTGCGGTAGACTAGGCCTCACTTCAGTCAGCACTCGCTCTCCAGAGGCTGCTCTCAGGGGGCAGAGGCTCCCCGGTCTGCCTTCCTCACAGCGGCTGCTCCGTCCTCACTGTCTCCTTTAGGAGCATGACTGTGTGACCACAAACCTTAGTAACTCAATACAACCCTGAGCATTGAGAAGAAGAGACAGTGCCGGACTCAGGAGGGAGCAGCTGGCTGGAAGGAAGGCCCACGAACTCTAATCCCAGGGATGCTGTCCGGCCTTGACCTGGGAGATCTCATTTACTGTGTGCCCTGGAGGCTTTCTGAGCTCTCAGAGCTTGAATAAAAGCAGGCCTGGGCTCTCTGAGACTGAAACAGCCTGTTTAGACTCTCAAAGCCAGTGCAGTTCACAGGCAAGCTGGAAGGTGTGCTCTCCAGCTAGAGGGTGTGTTTACTGTTCTGGAAGGTTTCGTGCGTCTTTCTTCAGTTTCCTTCCCCTAGTGTCTGACCCCTCCAGAGTTCCCCTGCCTGGGTGAGTTCACTGCCTGGTAAACATGGTGGGAAGCCTCAGCTTATCAGAAGTCACTCTGAACAGATGCAGCGTGGGAGCAGCCCTGCCCCTCTCCCCTCCAAAAGGTCTTCTGAAGTTTTTGATTCCAAGCTGGTTGCCCACTCCTGCAGCGCAGTGAGGTGGGCCTTAGCCATTGGACTGGAGGAGTGTCTTGCAAGCAAACAGCTGAGCCTGGCCCTTGAATCACCAAGTTTCCGTCTGCTCATTGGCGGTCAGTCTCCATGAGCTGACCTGAGGTTGAGAGCTGTTCGCTATTTTGGCCGTGAACCTTAAGCGGATCAGGGTTTGTTTGTTGGGTGGGTGGGTGGGTGGGCGGGTATTTTTGTCTTTTTTTGCCTTAGTGGTGATGGTACTGGGGATCAAATCCAGAGCCTTTGGCCTGAACTCTATCCCCAACCCCTTTGTTATTTTTTATTTTGAAACAGAGTCTAAGTCAGTTGCCCAGGCTGTGCTCAAACTTGGGATTCTGCTGCCTCGGCCTCTCAGATGCTGGGATTTTAGGCATGTGGCACATGCCTAGCTTTAAGCAGGGTTTAACCTCTCCAAGTGTGCAGATCTGTGAGTGAGGGTTCCGGGAACCCTACTTTTCAGGTGAATGAGCGAGGGCTTAGAGAATCCCACTGTGGCTATTCACCAAAATAACTTCCTGGAAGGTGATCTTTCTGCCCCTTATCAGCGGCATAGATGGAAAGGTCCCAAAAAGACTCATAATGAAATGTCTGTTTGGGACACCATTCAACAAGGTTCTAGCACATCCTGGTAGGTTACCAGACTTTCGCCACCTCTCTGCTATAAAAAGACCCTTGCTTTGCCTTCAAACCAAGTAGAAAGCATTGTCTAGCATCAGTTTCAGCTCTGAATGTTCTGTGTAGAGCCTCAAATGACCCTGTGTAAAAAGACACAATCTCTACATTTATGAACATTTAATAAACAAACAAGTTATACAAATAATCACTCAAGTAAATTTTGATAAGTGCATGAAAAATATGTATGGGAAGGGATGTTAGAACAGGATCTAACCCAGCTGGCATTCACGGGAAGCTTCTCTAAGAGGCGATTGTCAGGTGACCCTGAAGGGAAAGTAAGACTGGACAAGAGGAACGTGAGGCAGGAAGAATCTTGCTGCTCCACCAGAAACAGAAGTGATCAGTGAGGCCGAGTGTAGAGGCCCGGAGCAGAATGGCACGGAGCAGGCTGGGGAGACGGAAGGGAAGGAGAGCGACCCCCTCCGCCACACTGCGCAGCCCCATCTGAGTATCCCCCCGAAGTGCTGGTTGCAACCCACCCCACTGTCATGGCACGACGTGGGGGCCAGGCTGGTGCCTGTGCCGTCTCTGTCACACGCGGGACTCTCAGGCATGTGCGAGAAGAGCGCTTCTAGTTCCAGCGTGGGGAATCACACGAACCGAGTAGCCTTCCCGAGCAGCCCAGCTCAGAGGAAGAAGGGAGGGGAGAGGAAGACCGAGCGCTCACTTTCCCCACGAACCTCTGTATGTTTTCCCATTGCTTTGAACTGCTTATTAATACATGACAGAAGCCATTTCCCTATTTAGGTGGTTCTGCTGGGAATTCCACACCACCACCACCCCCTCCTGAGGTAGATTAAAAAACATCAGCTTTCAAGTTTTGTGCTTGGATTTCCTAAACTACATTACATTACCGCGTCCGGTGAGACGGCGCCATTGCCTGTTCCTATCGGTGTGCTCCAGGCACCGTAAGGCCGATAACATCAGCGTGTCGAAGCAGCTCGATCCAGTCAATTTGCGGCTGGCTGGAGCTGGGCCAGAGGTAGCGGGTGAGATGCAAAATTCTCTCAGGATCCGGAGCCACATGGGGTCTACTGTAGACTGAAACCCGAGATTCGGGGATGCTTCCCATACACCCTCATGTCTCAGTTTTATGAAGAGAGAACTTGTCTTTGTAACAAGGAGCTGAAAATTACTCTCCTAAACATGGAAGTAGGATAAAATCACCAGTAATCCAACACTCAGGAGGTTTTCATTAGAGTGCAAGATAGACAGAGGTGGGGGAAAAGTGGCAGTCATAAAGTGAAAAGGGCAGGTTCTTACTGCCTGTGAAATTAGGTGTCTTTTTAAAAGCCAAGATAGAAATAGCTACTTTGTGTTTTCTGTAAGCCCAGATGCAAAGGTCTTACGGAGTAGCTGAAGAGAAAGTATCGTTGCCCTTCCAAGGAACAGTTACTTTTGGAGTTTCCTTTCTAGTGATAGCCAAGATTTAATTCTACAGAACAAGCATTCCTCTTGTAGCAAAATATTTTCAGTTTACTGGGTTATTTCAAAAGCATCAAATATCGTAATACATCCATCCCACTCTGGCATCATTTACAGACCTATTTTTATAAGTAGCCAAACACAAGCTGTTCATGTACAAAACATTGTTTTCTCAAAGTATAATTGCTCCCCAAGGTCAAGGTTCTGGAGGAAGTCAACCCAACCTCACTGACGTTGCCAGGCTCCTTTCCTAGCACAAGCCTGGCTTTCCTGCACCCTGACACCCTGCCAGCTGAGTCACAGGTTTCAGGGTGTGGATGCAGGAAACAGAGCAAAGCTCTACCCCTAACTCTGGCTGCACATTTTTGACTTCGGTGAGCACAGGGGAGTCGGGCTGCTTACTGACTCTGTTATGTACCTGAAGGCAAATCAATGATGAAAATGATTCTGTATTTGCATGTTGCTTGTTTTTACAGAAAGATATTATTGATAAACGTGAGAAACCACAGTCACTGCATACAAGAGGTTCTGAGGTCAGTCCTGCATTGGGATATTCACATTTGGTGGAGCAGGTGTTGCGGGTTCTGGAAGAATCTCAAAGCAGGTTACTCTCCCTTCTGTCCTGGATTTCCAGGCCATGCCTGTTAAGTCTGTGCTGGTCTTCCAGAGACTAGAAGTCTAAAGTTCCTGCTTTACCATGGGGAGAATGGCCCAAGGCTAAGGCAGGGCATTCTAGTGCAGCCAGAAATTGGGACAAATACCCAGCCCGATGCTTGCTGTCACTTCTAGGTTGGCCACACCCCGCTCAGCTGCCCTTGCCCTCGGCCTGCACTTCCTAAGGAGCAGCAGCTCTCCCGTGACCTCTGGACCATGCCTGGACTTCTCTGCTAGAGGGCTTCCCTCTGTGCGACATTTCGAGCCTTGCAAGGATCAGATCCAGAATTGTTGGGGAGAAAAAATAAAGTTTTTGCTGAAATGTTGGCAAATCTGAGAACGAACAGTAACAAACAAACTTAAGTTCTCTTTCTTGATCTCTTCAGACAGCTGGCCCTTCTCCGCTAGCGTTTTCTCCTTGGCTTCGACCTCCGCTGTTCTCTCTGGTCAGGTAGCAAGGGCTCTTCAGGACTCTGGATCTGTTTCCTCCATCTTACATTATTCTTCCAAAATCCCGCCCCTCCCAAATATCCTTCATGTCAGTCTTTCCCTCGTCCCACGTCCCTCTAACCACGGCTACCAGGCTTCTTCCATACGCCTGTCTATGTTGGTGATCCTCAAGCTTTTTCTCCCGTCCTTTGTAGTTATATACATCCTTGAACAAAACGAAGTCATTAAAATTTACCTTGTTCCTGTTTTTTATTTTGTTTTGTTTTGTTTTTGTCTTGTGCGCTTGCTATCACCATCAGCTGAGTCAGGAGGGTTCTGGAGTCACCCTTTCTCCGCAAACCCAGACCCACTCCGCCACTAAGCCCCAGCAGCTTGATCCGGACATGGGTTTCTCTCCACTCCCCCTTTTCTCGACCCCACAGACTCTGCCTTTTCAAGCTCTGGTGACCTCTTGCAATGAGGATTCTCTGGTCTCTGCCTCCAGCTTCATCCTTCCCACCCACTCTCCGGACCCTGCTCTCAGGCTGACCTGCTCACGCACACTGACAGTGGGCTACAAATCCTGCAGGGGCTCCCCGCTGCTTCCAGTTACCGTGTGGAGCCCAGAGCATGATTCTCAAAGCCTTTCATGACTCTAGGTCTTCCTGCTCACCCAGCCCCACCCTGGCCACGTCATCTCCCAGCACCGAACGTGCTGGAAACTTCCGCCTGCTCTGCGGTCTGTGCATCTGCCTCCCCACATCTTTCTTTTCCTTTCATTCTCCACTCCTCTCTCCATCTGGTTCACACCTATCTACATCCTGCTTATGCTTTATTTTTTTAAAAAATAATATTATGTTTGTTTTTCTCACGATATATAGTTCAGTTTAGCGTAGGCTGGCCTCAAACTCACAATGATCCTCCTGCCTCAGCCTCCTGAGTATTGGATTACAGTGTGCACTACCACACCCACCTTTATGCTTTGTCCTTGAGCTTTCTTTGGAGAAGTCATGCCTAATTCCCTGGGGCGAGACAGATGTGTGTGTCCTATATACTGACAACACCCTGTGCAAACCTCGGTCATAGCATTTAGCATATTATGCAAATCATCTGCTTATTATTATTGCCTCGCTCACTGACCTATGGGCTCTTCGTGGATGGGAGCGTATTGTCCTTACATGCTCCACACTCAGCCCCGCGCGTAGAATGTAGATCCCTAACGTGGGGCCAAAACCGAACGTGGTGGCTGAGCCCCTTTTATTTCCTTCTCTTAACTGCCCTCCACTTTCCTCTCTGAGGTGAGCACCCTCCAGCCCTAGTGCTTTTTCTTTCTTGCTGCTCCCTGCCCGACCTTTCATGTCACAGTGATGGAAAGCTAACAGAGAGGTTCATAAGCCATTGTGGAGTTCATCTCTCCTCTTCTCTGGCCTCCTTCATCCACAGTTGGCCCTAAGCCTCCATGGGTTCTAAGCAGGCTGGTGAGAGGGACCTCAGGCCCTGGGTGTGGCCACATACCCAGGCACAAGACTGTTTCAGCAGAGCCACCCTCTCTCTTATGCATCTGTAGGACTCTGAATCCCTCTCTTAGCAAAAACCCTTCCCAGCCAACCACCTAGACTCGAGCCTCTCTGCCCTTCATGGGATGATTATGCATCCCAGTGGAAAAGGAAAAAGACCTGCTGTACCTGACTCCCCAGAAATGCAGGGGAGAAATGGTAGCAGCAGCAATTAAAAGTTATATGTCGTCATTTTCTGAATAGCTGTTTCTTACCAAAACCCCTGCTGAGGGTATCAGTCTAACCCACCAGGCAATACGGCACACAGATGCACAAGAAAGACAAAGAGAAAAAGTTCAGGAGCTGAGGATCTCTGGGATGGCCCAATGTTCAATGGAACAAAAGGCTTTGTCTCCAAAAGCTTATGGCTTTTACTAGCTGCACCAGGCACAGAGGCCTCTGACTAGCACTGCACAGATCGTTCTGATGTACGTAAGGCTGACACCTTTACCGCCAGGAGCATTTGTTTCAATACAGCCAGCTCTACTATCTCAGTAAAATAGGGTCAGGGCCAGGTTGTGGCAAGGGCTTTGTTTTTCAGGAGGGAGCAGCATGGTGGTCTCCCACAATTTCTGAAAACTGAATGGTAAGTAAAAGAGCAGGAGCTGCCACCCCAGTTTGGATAACTCAGAGCTGTTTTGGTTGGTTCTCTCAGCTCTAGCCTGAAAACCAGGGAGACCCCTGTGAGCTCTCCTCCTGGCTCTGGAATTTGAGTCACAGTTCCAACAACTGATCCCTTGGCACAGGCGAGGACTGGCTGAAACCTGGTGGCCACCCCCCAGGCAGTACTTGTGCTCCGCTTAGAGCCCCTCCCCGGCTGCAGTGTGACACAGCCTCCCTTTTTCTTTTTCACCATTGGCCTCAAGTCAGGAGGACTCTGTCTGGCAGGTGATGCCCAAGGGAAATTTTGTTCTTTGATAGATTCTCCAGAGGGAACCAAGTAAATGAGGACTGGAGCAGAGCTCTCTTGGAAGATGATAGAGAGATGTGATGGCCTGAAATTCCCCGGCACATGGTGGAAAATAAAATATTAAAAACCTGCTATACTCTCAGTCATGACTGAGGGCATCATCAATTGGAAAAATCCTTTGGGAAAGCAGCTTGCCATATGTATCAAGAGTGGCGGCACACACCTGTAATCCGAGCACTCGGGAGGCTGAGGCAGGAGATCACTGAGCTCGAGGCCAGCCTGGGCTACATAGTGAGTTCAAGGCCAGTCTGAACTACGTAGCGAGACCCTGTCTCAAAAAAACAAAAAACAAAACAAAAAAATCTTAAAAACACTCAGGCTTTTGGACTTAGTAATTCTACTTTATTTCTGACATGACCCTAAATGCAAATGTATATGGATTTCAGTGTGTCATTTTTTTATGAAGGTGAAAAATTGCAAACAACCTGAATGTCAACATAAATATACAAAGTTATTGTATATTCTCTCTATGGATATTTTGCAGCCATTAAACATGATTACAAAAACTCTAGAATGTACAGAGCTGATTCTGTCCTGATACTAATTTTTTAAAAAAATATAGATGATACAGTACGTTTTTCTCTAAATGTCCTGTGCATATGTATTAGGTGTTGCTCTCTGGTTACAGTAACAAAACCTAACTGAAGCTAGTTTAAGCTAAATAGAATAGACTATAAGGACACTTCTTTTTTTATTCTCTTTTGCTGTTTGTCTGTTTTGGTGGTGCTGATAATTGAACCTTCCATTGAGCTACATCCCCAACCCTTTTTAAAACTTTTTGAGATAGGGTCTTGCTAATTTGCTTAGACTGGAGTTGAACTTGAAGTCCTCCTGCCTCAGCCTCCCAGAATGCTGGGCTTACAGGTATATACCACCACATCTGGCTTAAGGTCACTTATAGTGTCTTACAGAGGGCAGCATGGAATCCTGCCTTGGAAAGGCAGGACAGGCTCTAGAACCAGAGCTTGAAAACTAGAGAGACTCCCCCTGTCTTCTGAATATCAGCTTTCTTCTCTCCCTGTGGCCAGAGTTCCAGTCTTCACCTTGACATCTACTCTTAGTTACACTTCCCAGTTTGCGGGGAGTATGTGCTGCCTGGGCCAGCGGATATCCAAGGGGATGGCACCCGGAACCAGCAAGGTTCTTGGAGGCCCGTCCCTGTGACCACAAGGAGGGGAGCTGCACCAGCTACCAGAGAAGAGAAATCTGAGTGTTGCCAACTGTAGTGTACACAAAAGACTTGCATACGATGGAATGCTCACAGAAGTTTTCCAAGATTGTGAAACCAAAAGCTTAATTTTTTAGCATGAATTACTTTATAATAGAAAAATGTATTAAACTAGTCATATCTACAGTTATTTCTAGAGCTGGGATTAGCAGTACACTCCTCCATTTGGGTTCTACCAGTAACACGCCATAAAGATCCCTAGGCTTGGTCTGCTTGTGTTGGGTGACTAATTCCATCCTAGTTGTTTAAGGGGACAGAAAATCTTCAGCTCTTCTCAGGACCAGCTTGAGTTCCCAGACTCAAGCTCTAGCATGAGAAACCTTCTGTGTGTGTGTGTGTGTGTGTGTGTGTGTGTGTGTGTGTGTGTGTGTTGCTTTACCCAAAAGTGTTCTTCAGAAGTGTGGTATGCATAGAGAATGCTTTCCTCTGTATTGTGCCACCAGCATGTAGTCCAGAGCTGGAAAGAGTGGACATTCAGTGTGTTGACTTTACTTGGCTTGAGTCTTAGAGAAAAACCCAAAAGACTGGGAGATTCAGACTGGTATAAAAAACCTCCCTGAGCAAGCCAGGACCCTGCCCTCACCTCCAAGTTCAGGCTTCACAAATTTTCTCTCCAGGTTTTCTATTTTTCCTTTGTGTTTCCCTGATTCCCCTCCTTCTCTCCCAAAGACCTTACCCTATGAGAGGTCTACAGGTGGGGCTCCTAGGGATCTTAATATATCCTAAAGGCTAGAAGTCCTGGTCAACTGCCTGACTCTGAGCACAGCTCCCAGAGAAGTCATGGAGAAGGGAAAATGGGAACAATGTCTCACTGCCCGACAATGAGACTCAGCCCAAGGCCAGTGTTTTGAGGTGTGACTTCAGGTCATACCACAGAACAACAGCTGCCCCTGGCCAGACTGTTCTCATGCTGATGTGTAAGGCAGAGACAGAGGGGAATGCATCGGAGGCTGAATGAACGGCCGTTTCCATGGAAGAGTGGTATCACTGATGTCTACCTTGCTGCTCACAATGAAGCTGAGGTGGGGCTCTTTCTCCCTCTCTTCCTTCTCCCTCTCTCCCCCCTTCCCTCCTCCTCTCCTCTCTGACTGAGGGTTGAACCCTGGGTCTCATGCATGCTAGGCAAGTGCTCTGCTACTGAGCTATGTTCCCAGGTCTGCTGGATTTCCCTTGCAAGCAAAGTATCTAAGCACAATTATTTCATCCACTCCCAAGAGATATTTTGGGAGAGTGGCATAACGCTGAACAAGAAAATCACTGCCCAAGTAGTTTTTGAGCTAATATTTGGACAAATTTCAACAAGAGCAGAGCTGGCCTCTGAGGCCCTATCTTGCTGCACTCACCTATCAGAAAGTAGCCTGAGCCCTAGATCTCCCCTGGTTTTCTATTTCCTTATCAGCACTGTCCTTCCTGACCCCGCTTCCTTCTTTCTGCTTCTCTGTCTGTCCTGCTTTCTGATGTCACTCAAGGAGACTAAGCAAGGTATAGACATGACTCTACTTCAGAGGCATCCA